TATTTATTTCTTCATTTTTTATATTGGTAATACAGTACAGGCAGTCCCCGGGTTACATGGATCCAACTTCCATCGGATCCCTACTTACAAACGGGGTGAGTTAATCCCACACTAGCTGCTCCCCCCCAGCAGACCAGGGAGACGCAAAGCTAGCGCGCCCCCCCCCTCCGCCCCCAGCAGACCAGGGAGACCGGGAGAAGCTTTTCTCGCCCCGGAGGACATGGGTGGCGACCCGCCGCCCGTGAGCTCAGGGGCGAGAAAAGCCGCGTTTGTAAGTGCAGATCCGACATAAGTCGGATCCGCGTAAGTCTGGGACTGCCTGTAACGTATAGACTTATTCTGTTAAGAATTCTTTGCATTTACAACACCCATCATTTGTACTGTGAATCTGATCTCAGAGTCTGTATGTATATTCTTTAAAAAAAAAAAAAAAAGTTTAGTTAATAAGAATTGCTATAAGCACGTATTTCAGATATTATCTGAAATAGTCATTGACCTGGGTTGGGTGTCAGGATGGAGGCCTAATACTGGGCTGCTGGCTTGGTAAATCTATGTACCAGAATAACCATCAGCTTTGGGGATTGGCTCCCCCATTCTTTGCAGTTTCTCCCAAACTGAGTAATCTCAGTAGGCTCCTGTGGGACTCTGGTCACAGAAATCCATATATTACAACTGCATTATAAAAAGAACCCCTTTGTTATTAGTTTCACCAAGAGAGCCAGCCATTAAATAGCTGACTTTGTACATTTTTAGTTTTCCAATAAGACATATTTTTACAGTGGTGTACAGCACTTTTCCACTGTGCATGCTGTGTAATGGAGTAAGTGTGAATGCTGACTGTGTAAGACAAGGTGTCCTATATCAGGGAATATGGGAAATGCCAATTGTCAAGGTAATAGCTTCAATAAATTAATGCATTTTGTGAGTCAGAATAAATATGCTTCCTTGTCATCCTTTGCCAGTTTTATAGGATAAAAGTTTTTTAACAGCATTGTCAACATGCAGGCACACCAGTTTAAAAAGTGACACAGCCTTTATGAAATGCTAGATTTACTTACGTGCATTTGTCTGACTTTTACTGGTGAATGGCAAAAATGACACAGTAAGTTACTTTTCATCGCTGACAGTCCTAGTGGTGTGTCTGTTTTGTAAGATAGTTACTGTCAGTGAATACTTCTGCAGGTGCTAGGGAAATTACTTTTCCATCACCCACATTGTACAGCTACTGTGGAGATAATGGGAGCATGGGGTGCAGTGGAAATGACATTGTTTTCAGAACAACTATATTGGAAGCCGGGCTAATAAAGTTCCTATAGATACTTCTGCTCAGTTATGAATACATCCATTTATCATCTTTGTTTTTCAAATATTTACCTTTGGAATTATTAGTTACTTAGACTTTAGATAGAAACAACTTTCCTGATCGCATTGTGCAACCTATGTTCTTGTTGGCTTCTGTTCAGTAGTTATTCTAATATATGGCTGTACTTTCCTATTAGCTGAATATACTAAAATCAGGGCATCCTATTAATCAAGCAGGGATTTCCTGAGCTAGAATATCTATCTCACCAGACTGTGTAGGGAGTAAAATAGCCACAAGGGAGAAGACTTGATATTTTTATTCATATGCAAGTTTCTCTTGCGAGAAGGAAGATGAAAGTTACCTAAAAGCACAAGTGTCATCAGATTTAATACTGAGGGGGAAAATTAATATATTCTATGTTGTGTCTTCCATATTAGCATAAACGTTTAAATATAATCTTTGCAAGCAACTTTCTATACCATTTAACCTAGATTTCTGGTCATCCAAGAAATAGGTTGAAAACAAGTGCTTCCAGGATAACTTGTACCTTTGATTTTACTGTGATATAGTCCCACTGTCTGCTGATCACCTTCACTTTTCGTTTGTAGCATTGCTTGTTTCTTAAAGCTGCTTTGTCTCCTATTTCTGGTGTTTAAATAGAAAAAAATGAAATGTGAAAACCTAGGTTTAACATGCAAATTACTGTAGTATCTAAGTCAAGTTAGTATTGCCGCTACCTTGTATTAGAACATGTTGGGCAATAATTTTAGATGGGGAGCCACTTCACTAATTTTTGAAGTGGCCCTGGGCTGTCCCAGAAGAGATGCGGCCAGGACATTTTCATGCTCCCTCTCCCTCAGGCCCTGGAGAGCGGAAGCATGTGAAGTCTTTGCTCTCTCCCCCCATTCCCGGGCAGCAGGGGAGTAGCAGGGTGTCTGTGGGAAAGGTCCACGCACTTAGCAGGCCAGATCCGACCCGTGGAGGCCCCTTTGCTCACCCCTGCATTAGAAGGAAATATAACAACAATGGGAGAGCAAGCAGGCTTAAAATAAACAAACACTAATGTGAAGCCTACATGGTGGAAAGATCCTTTCAGTTAGTGAATGGAAGTTCTGCATCAGATGCTCTTGTATTATAAGAAGTTGCATAGTACAGGAAAGCAGGCAGATCGTTTGCTGAAAGGTTTTAGACCCAGGTATAGTGAGCCACTTTATATGTGCAATAATATCACGTTAGTATGTTGCATTAGGAAAATGAGATTCCTCATTTACTCTGTCTGGCCATGCTCTGGCAAGGGAATTTGCTTGCCCAGGCTTTCAAGGCCCTATGTACCCTTCCTCCCTGTTCACATCTTTGACTTTTCCTTTTATATCCTTCCTGCCCTCTCTGCTCTGTTAACAATGCCAGCCTTTCGTTTAACCCCCTCCTAATAACTTTGTGAGCGAATTAAGACTATAAAGGTGTTTTTAAAAATGAACATTTACTCAGTGTCTATAGAGTTTCCACAGGCTTTCCATTGCCACCTCACTCCTTGCTTTAGGGTTTTTTTTCACTTGTTGCCTATATATGAGAGAACCTCTATTGTATGTGCTGCTGTGTTGCACCAAAACATTCTGATAATTACAATTCTCAGCTTACTCTCTTTCTAAATTTGTTTCATCCACCTATTGCCTCTTACTGTTACAGTCAGCTGCTTGAGAAACTATTTTTAATTACATGTTTGTACAGCCCCTAGCATAGTGGGGCCCTGATCCTGTAATACAAATAATTGTCTAAATTCTACATTATAGCCCTCTCAGGGCAGGCTCCTTGTCTGTTTACCTGTAAACTGCTGCGCACATCCATTTGTGTCCTTTTCCTAGTATAAACATACTTGTAATCCCGTGTCAAGCCCAGTTGACTTTCCAGGATCAGAGCCTGTGATTGTATTTAAAATGTATATTTAGGGTACATAAGAGGAAGCATTTTATGATGGAACCTAGCTGCTTATCCTAAATGCAGTCAAATATGAAAGGCACTTGATATGTTTTTAATATGCTGTGAAGCAGCAAAGATAAATAGTTTATGATGATATTTAATTAACTTGGAGTAATACCTTGACTAATCTGAGGTAGGAGTATAAACTGTTTTTCCAGGCCCTTGAAGAAGGAAAAAAAGTGAAATACTGTAACTTAAAATAAACAATGCGTGGTAGCAATTTTAATGTCATAATATTCATATTCTTTTTCAGACTACTTTCAACATATGCATTATTTTAGATATGAAACCATTTTCTGATTTGACTAGAATAAGGAAAAAGTCTCTTGTGCATGTTATTGTGGTGATAATAGATTGTTAGACATTTGCTGTAATGCTACCACATTAATTTATGCTCTGTAAAAGAACAAGATACTTTTGCAGGGAAAACTGTGTGGTCTGCACAATAAATGCTGCGTAAGAAACAAATGTTCTCCAAATAGCTTTTTTGCTAGTTAACACCTCAAAGCTGAAGGTGTACTAGGAATGAAAAATCAAAAGACAGTATAACTTCAGCAATTAACCAAATTAATTACATATATGACTTTTGGTTAGGAACTTTACTTGACTGATTCAGATATTAAGTATTTCTGCACAGTATTTCTAAAGCAACGGAACAATTCATATTAAATCTCTCCCTTACAGAGCTTGAGGACCAAATGGAGAAGTTGGAAGGTACACTATTTTTTTAATCTTAACTCCAGACACTGAGATTAAACAGATAGGATTACACTGGTTTGGTAGTCCTTAAAATCATGGAGATTGTGTGGGGTGCCTCTCATCTGGAGGACTGAAACCCAAAGGCATGCTGAACAGATGCTTCCCCCCTACCTTGGTGCCTCTGATACAGAGGTAGCAAGAGGGGCGGGGAGGAAATGCATGTAGTCAACAAGAATAACAGATAAGTGTAGGCTTGTTGGTTAATCATATAGTCGATTACACGTTGATATCCCTACTTTAGCCATCTATCTTTGATAATTTCCTTTTACTCCTTCAGGTAGAAAGTCTTTAGTTTTTGTTTTGTTTTCCTCTCCTCCTCACCCCCAACAAAAGACAGCAAGTGTGCAAATTGAAACTGGTGCCAATAGAATTCTACTCTTTAAAGTGTATTCCGTGGGAAGGAGGGCCAGTGTCCCCTGCTTCCTCCCATCCAGCCCCTGCATCTTCCTTCAACCCTCCCCCCGCCCTTGTCAACACATCCCTGTGCCCCCAGCGCACTCACCTGAGCAGACCATAAAATCTATTTATTTACTTACTATAATCATTATTTGTGAGGTTTTCTCTTGAGTTTGGACCCTGACTATACCTTGATCAAGAAATTTGGACTCTGCCAAAAGAATAATTGGTTACTTCTGACTTAGTATCTTTCTTGTGTACCTCTAAGTATTATTTGAAACTCATGGAATTATTCCTATAGAAAGTTACAAAATAACATTTCAATATAGGACACAGAAAAGTAATTTATCAGTATAAGAAGTTGGATTTTTAGTCATTCATTATTTCACCTGTACTCACTGTTGCTTTCTCTATGCTGAAAAATGAATGGGGAGTGAAGAAAAGTCTTCTGTATTCAAACCATTTTCATTTAAATAAAGTTTTTAAAATGGTAACAGACTACTTAATTCTCAGTAGCTCTTATTCTGATGGTCTTGTTGAAGCTATTGAGCAAGCGTAACATTGGAGAGAATCTTACTGAAATTTTAATTAAGACTAAAAATGCTTTCAGAATTGGCAGGATCCAGCTAACAGTTTTGCTTGCAGCTTGTGCTCAATATTTCTGAAATTACTGCCAGGTTTTGGGATGTAGGAGTGAGATTGAGGTGATCCATAAATTAACTCAAGCTCTTACTCAAAGAAATATATATATATAGAATATACACACAACAAGGCTAATTCAGTTTGTCAGTAATATTTGTATCTGCACAATTTAAAAGTTGGAACACTATATTTAATATGAAATATTTCAAAATTTAAAATATATGTATTGCTTGCATCAGTATTAAAAATACAAAGTGTATGAAAGAATGGTTCCTGCATTGTAGCTTAAGCTATCTTTTATTACCAATACCATTTTCGGTAATTAGTTGTAGTTACATGTACTGAAGCTGTGTTCTGTTATTGATTAGTTGTTGGTTGTATCTCTTGATTTCTGTCCAAACTACAGTTGTTCAACCATGTTAAGTAATGTAATGCCCTTGTGCTGTTAGAGCTTTACTAATATATTTTGTTTGCTAATATGCAAGTTTTATTCTGACACTGTGAGTTCTTAATGTCAACAATGGTCTGGGACTCTTACATTTGAAAGATTGATTCTGAAATAGTAAACTAACATTTTCAGAACACTAAGACATAAGACACTTCAATGAGGCATAATGGACACACTTTAAAAAAGTCGCTACTTTAAAAAAGTTATTTTTTTGAGTGCTGTCCTCTCTTTTTAGTAAAGAGCAGAATCTTGGAAAAGGGTGTAATTTAAGGGCTCCTCTATTACCATTTTATAGGAACCAGCAATTAAAAAGTGAAACTTGGATATGGTAGCATAATGAGTCCATAGAAAGAGTAGCAGGTTTCAGCTCCATGTTCAGTCTTCCAAACTATACTTTTACCATGCCACTGTTATTACTAGAATAAGAAATGTAGATGAAATCAGGGAGTTCTGCTGTTAGATATTTATTATAACTTTTTTAAGATAAGAAAACTCATTTGAATGCTAAGGCAACTAGGAAAGATACCCCAGGAAAATGAAGTCATGTAGCAACTTGTTTACATTGTTCTAGCAGAACCCAGAAACTATTAACTTGCTGTAGAAGAGCATATGACCAAAAACTTGTATGATCTATTTAAAAGCTCAGAGCTCCATATGGAGCCTCTGCTTCTTTGATCAACCAAACACTGCAAAAAAGACTCAGGGGGGTTGCTCTGTTAGTCTGTATCTGCAAAAACAAATTAGGACTGAATAAGGACTTAGAATGTTTATCTCACTACAAAGGAAATTTTCCCTCCCTTGGTATTCACACCTCCTGCTGGGAGTGAGCCACATCCTCCCTGACTGAATTTGATAACTCCATTCTTTTGCTATGCTAGTGTAATGTATGCTATAGACTACATGCATTTCCCTCCCACACCTCATCCACTAGATTTTTTTTTTAGCAGGCTGTCCAGGAGCCCAGCTCAGTCCCAGCTTGGGCTAGGTCCGAGACCTACCTCTGCTGGAACTCTGCATTTAAAATGTATTAAGAGCCAGGCAGGCAGCCTGGCTCGGTTCCAACTGAGCTGCAAGGCTACAGGCAGCTGGTCCGCATGGGGAGCTGGTTTTTAAACCGGCTCCCCTCACGAACCAGCTCCTATGTGGCACCCCATGCTACTGCCTCTGATACAGAGGCAGCAGCGCGGATTGGCATGGGGCTCCTCAGCAATGGGGACAGATTGCACTGGCTGCCAGCCCCACCCCCTGGGAACCATAGAATAGTCGAGTAACCGATAAGAATTCTGACTAGTTAATTAACCAATATTTAACATCCGTGTGTGTGTGTGTAATCCCAACATCTGTGATTTCCAGTCTATAATATAAGTGGTTTTTACTCACGAAAACTTACGCCCAAGTAAATCTGTCAACCTACCATAAGGTGCCATGGGACACCTCGTTACTTCAAAAAAGCTAATTGCAAAATCTGTTTGATTCAGATTAAACTAATATTGTATGCACCGAACTACTTAACATGTGGAAATCCCAGTTTCTATTGTAGACCACTTGCATATTCTATACATTGAATTCTGTACATTTTGGAGATATTTTAGATAGTCTTAGTCTGTCATCTTGAGGACCCATAAAACCTATTGCTGGAAGTTTTTCAGTTGAATTTGTGTTCCAAAGCTAACAAGGCTTATTTGGAAGAACTAAAATATCTTTCGATTGATTCAGAGTAGCAGTTTCCATATTTTTCCCCGATTCTTTTTGTCTGATTTTACTTTATTAAAAAAAAAAAACCAAAATCCTGCTCAGTTACCACACAAAGCCGATCAAGTGTGAGTTCTTTGTGAGATAATTGGTTTGCCAAATCTATGAGAGAGTCTAATGAATAAAGAATACAGTTGTGAATGTAGGACATCTTTGGGCCACAATGGCTAAAAGTGTATCCTTGTTATGTAGACTCTGCTACAGTCTGCTAGTTTTTCAGTACTAAGCTTCTGGAGAATGACATTGGTGAACAATGAATTGTTGTCAGCCTTTTGTGCCTAGCTTCAGACAGGAGAGCTTTATCAGTAGGTACAAGGACCATATTTTCCAAACCAAAAATCAGGATATATGATTTGACAAAGGATTTTTTTCTGATTTGTGAGCAGGCAGGGGGTGCAGGGTGTCAGCAGGGCTGTGAGTGAGAGGGCTGGGTGTGCAGTGTCTCGGTGGAGGCAGTGAGTGAGCAGGCTGGGGGTGAGGGGTGTTGGCAAGGTGGTGAGTGAATGGGACAGGGCTGCTAGCAAGTGGGATAGGGATGTAGGACGGGTGAGGAGGGCAGGGTCTGGAAGGGAGTTTAGCAGCAGGAGACGGTGTGGGGTGGGGGTATGAGAGGGAGTTTGGGGGTGGGGTGAGGAGGGCAGGGTCTGGAAGGGAGTTTGGCAGCAGGAGAGGGTGTGAGATGGGGGAATGAGAGGGAGTTTGGGGGCCAAAGGGGGTTGAGGGAGTAATACAGAAAAGGTGAGAGGGTGAGAAAGCAGCCAAATAGCTAGTTGGGGGAGGGAGGCAAAGAAGTGGGGAGTAAAGAAAAGTGCAGCTTCTGCAAAGTAAAATTGTATCCCCCCTCACATCTTCCCTCTGCTCTAGCCTCGCTCCCCTCAGCCCCATGACCTCCCAACCTAATCCCCTGCATCGCCCCATGACCCTCAGTGCAACCCCTGCTTCCTCCCATCCAGCCCCTGCATCTTCCTTCAACCCACCCCCCGCCCTTGTCAACACATCCCTGTGCCCCCAGCGCACTCACTGCCGGGGCAGCAGCACTGGGGCGAAAGGTGAGGGCAGGGCAGCAGAGTTTATTCCCTGCACAGACCAGCCCTTTACCTAAAGGCTGAAGCTCCAGGGCTGGGGCAGGCAGAGCGTGGGGCTGGGGTAGGCTGGCTCCTGCCCATTTGGGCGGGAAGGGGCTCTCCAACCCCACATGAGAACCAGCCCAGAATGCCAGGTATGCTGGCTGCCCCAGCCCTGGCTCTGTGGAACAGGCTCAGCCCTGCTCCCGGAGGGTTAACCACTTAGCTCCTGGAAGCTGCATGCCCAGCCCGGGGAGGGGCAGTCTCAGGGATGCGTGTGGGCCTTTCTCACAGCCCCCCCTCCACCTTCCAGCAGGAAGCCAGAGCTAGTGCTCCAGCCTGAAGCTGCATGGCTGAGGCTAGAGCCGCAGCACAAGCTGCCAGCTGCACCGGGGGAGGGGAGGGAGGAATGGAGCTGAGCTCCCTCGCTTCATGCCACAGGAAAGCAGCTTGCGTGCCGTGGGTTGCCAATCCCTGATTTATGGGGACAGTGTGACAGAATATTTTAAATCAGGACTGTCCTAGAAAATCCAGGATGTATGGTTGACATATCAGTAGGGTGTTAAAATGAGTAGCCTTTTAGAGGGGAGGGGTGATTTGCTTGAGTGTGCATTCTGAAGGAAGAAATAAATAACTTTGGGAGAGGTAGTATAGCACCAGTTAGCTATATTGTCATTAGGGGTCTGTCATTACATTAATTATGCAGGTTAATTTACTAGTTTTAAAATTCACCTGTAAATTTTACCTACTTTGGAGAGGGAAAATAAATCAGCTGAGAATGTTTTGATTTGTGGGATGTTAATCAATTTTTTATTTTCTGTTGGATCTCCACACTGACTTTTTAAATGGGTTTTGCTGCTGACTAATGGTGTAGCTATGGAGTGTAACCATTATATATTTTGTTCCACTGCCCAAGGGTTGTAGATACTTCCATTTCTAAGATGTATACAATACTTTTGTGGAGCACATTCCTTACAACTCTGTCACAAAACACCGTTTATCTAATCTCTGCTCTGTCGTTGCATTTGCAGGTAGGGAGCATTTATGTACACTGAGTGCCCAACACTCCCTAGCAAAGGGTCAGATTGATAACCAGCCAGGAGTTCAAGGGCCATATGCAAACTGAGTGAAATGTGGTTGCTAGCAGTTTGCATTGGGCCAAGGCATTCCCAGGGTTTCAAAACCCATCCAACAACTGCTATCCCTGCCAGTGTCTCAAAACTGTGCTGTTGCAACAGCTGTCTTTTTGTTTGAACTGCTTCTTGCCAGCCAAGCTTGGCCAAAAGGTAAAGTGGGACAGTTATGGATGATTGCAAAGATCTGAGAAGTAGTACAGAGGATGGAGGATTACTCAGTGTTTGAGAAACAGCAGCAGTGTGAAAGGAAAATTGAAGGTTTTAGGAGTTAAATTCCCTCACTTAAGTGATGTCCAGGTACATTAAGGACTATGGAGGTGTGCACTACAGAGTACACTGAAGTGTTGCTCTTTAACTGCCCTCTGAAGATGCTGCTGACACAAACCAAACAGTATCCAGCTCACATTAACATAATCGTCTTTCAAACAGGACTATGCTAACGGAGGCTAGGGACCTTTTCATTCTTGCTAGCAGTGTCAGCAAAGGGCAGTTAAAGCACAACACTGTGGTGTGGTCGAAAGTCTTGTGCTTGTAGTCTGCATTGTGCTGCACTGTAGAAGTAGCCCGAGACATCAGGAATGGTGTTTAAATACCAGGCTAGCTAAAATATTCACAGAAAGTAATATAGGGGCAACTTCCATTTCCTACAGTTAGGCTTCTTGACTCTGGCTTACCAGATCTAAAATTTCCCATAGTTGCTGCCACCAGTCCAGCTCCGTTAGTGGAACCAAATGGTGGGGAGCTCTGGTGTAGACAAAGCACCAGACATCCCACACAGGCACTTTACTCGTCTCGTATTTCGTAGGTCTTCTCAGGACACGGTCACACCATCCTGTGCTTACAGTGCTGGCAGACAACCAGAAGCCCTGTCGTTTCTAAAACTCCCATCATTGCTATCCTGGAACTTTACAGGACACGACAATTAGAAACATTTTGCACAAATCTATTATGTAAATATTTTTATAGTTGGATGGGATAACCCAAGGAGCCTCTTCCATTTCTTATCTCCTCAGATGTATGTACCTCTTTTCTCTGCACTTCGTTTTAAACATTTATATAACAACATGTAAAGTGTTTGACTGTCAAACACTCAAACAAACTTTGGATGCTCTATTAGACCAAGATCCTTAGAGCAAGGACTGTGTCTTTGTATAGTGCTAAGCTTTCTGTTAATACATGTTAATAACAAGGAAATTCTAAAGTGAAGTTTCACATCTGGGGATAAATAAAAAACTTAAGGCTACATCAGCATTTCATTCCACAGCATATGCACAGAATCAATTGGCGTGATGTTAATCCTGCCCATGTACTTGTTGCATTCTGGACTGTTTTTTCGTTTTTCTCTATTCTGCTGCTTCAAGCATAAAATTAAATGAGTAGCCTTCATACTTCATTCCACTTTCTCGATCTTGTTTTTGATAGATTTCCAAAAGAAGCAGCCAGATGATGACTCCACCCCTAGCACAAGCAACAGCCAATCAGACTTGTTCTCTGGAGAAATAAACAGTGACAACAGCAATACCTCTTTAACTACGCAGACTGTTAACTCCAACCAGCAACTTTCGACAGAATTGAATGTAACTTCACTGAGTAAAGAGGAATGTAAGTGTGTGAGCCCTGAGAAGGGAAAAACAGAGGAAACCTAAATATCTATTCTCTTCTCAGTGCCATTTGTAACTAACTCTCACTAGAAAGATTTGCCCTCTCTCTTTCGGGGAGGAAGAGGGTTGGAACATAATCATGAAACTCAAACAGTTAGGGTTAATAAAAAAATTAACAAACAAAATAGGGGCCACCATGATTTTAGAAAATATTTTTATACTGATCTACAAGCTATTTGAACTTAAGTAATGCTGATCTTGATTGACTCTAAGGGAATTTGATCCGTGCTATGAAATTCTTCCCCTGTATTACTACAGGTAAACTATTGTATAGAGTGGAAACCAGAATCTGATTTATTTTATCCATATATCATTATTTTTAAAACTTTTTAAAATGGTTATCCACAGTATTACCTATAATGTAGGGTTAATTGGACTGGTGATAAATCTCTCACAGAACATACTGTGGGGTGATCTTAGACTCCATTTCCTTGTTCATATTTCTCTGTGTACAGAAATCTTATGGTTCAGAATTGTGTGTAAATGCAGAGGTAAAGTGCTCAGATTTGGCATGCTCAAACTCTGGACTAATGTCTGCCGCCTTACTTTCAAGAAAATTTATTCTAAATTTATATACAGGTTAATTCTGTGTATAATATATCGAGTTAAAAATTTACAACATGTTACCCTTGTCAATAATTCTTGATTCATAGTTTCATTTTCTTCAGACTAAAGTCTAACTTTCTGAATGGCGGGCTATGGAAAGAATCTCTTGCTTTTAATACTCTTGTATTTAATGACTGGGAGATACACAAATACATTCCAAGGAGAACATATTTATATCCACATCTTTTTTTAGCAGGGGAGCTTCTGGAGATGCCAGTGTTTTTAAATACTTTGAGTTCTTATTTATAGTAGTTGCCTCAAAGTGCCAGGACTGAAGGAGCTTTGATACATGGCCTTTCTTGGGTTTCATTTTTAGTCTGAGTGGTTTGAACAAGGCTGTAGGTTTCTGTGTGGATTGGTCCAGTAAAAGATATTACCTCACTCACCTTGTGTCTCTCATATCCTGGGACCAACAACATACAAGGATGTGATTAAGACAGTTCATTTATAATAATTGTAACATACATTTTTAATTAATATTAGATTGTATTATGCTAGGAGTGCAATATTTGTATGCCTTGCCAGCGCGATGGCAGGCAGTATTGGGCACCTTTTATTAATTAAACTCCAAGGCACTCTGTTATCAGTTGCTGTAATAAGAGTTAATTTGCAATGTGACTGTTGTTGTCTCTCCTTCACACACACAGTTGCTGGCGGCCACCATCCCATCACTTCCCTCCGTCCAGCGCCTCTCCCTGGAAAAACCTGTGGGGTGCTGCAAAAGCAGTTCTTACTGCACCTTTCCTAGAGAATTCAACAGCCTATTGGGCCTTCACAGGTCTGGGGCCTTCAATCCCCTGCTTACTCATAACCCAAGATCTACCATTTGGTGATACAGGGCACCTCTTCTATGCTGCTGGGCCAGGTTTTGTGAAAATGTTTTCATTGAGTTTTGAGTTGCATTACAAGGAATGTGTGTGGGTGTGGAGAGGGGAGGGAATGAAAGGAATAAAAATTGTTCCATCACTAATTGCAATGCACTCATCTATGGATGCTCCAAGGTGACCGATATTAGGCAATACAGCCCATAGAGCATTTGAAAATATTTCCTATTAAAAATGCTTTACACCTTCCTGCTGGGATGGCTTTTTAAATGAAAAACAGTGGTGAGATTTATTTACAGTTCCAGCTAGCTATCTCTTCTGCTCCCCTCTCCCCCCTCTCTAATGAAGCTCAGACTAATGTCATTTATCAGGGATAATTATACAACAGATGGAGCTTTTCTGATGGATAATGGCCTCATAGTAGAAGGTTCTTTCCCACTAATGAAGAATACCCAAACTTCAAATCTTTTTTTTTATTATTATTTTAATTTAAAGGTGTCTTTTTCTGCGCATTACTTACATATTTTGTAGCTCGTTCTATAAAGCATACACCTCTCTCATTACAGCCGTGTGGGAGAAGATTGATCTTTTTCAGTACTGTATGATGATGTACAGCTGCATGCTGTACTGAACAGAACTGAAGTAATTCACCAGGAATCAATGTCTGGGATCATTAAGCTAATCCCTATCAAAGTGTGGAAAGACTGGTGTGCTCAGAGGTATTTTCTTTCAGGAGCTGCTCAGGCCGCAGTGTGTCTGCCCTCTCTTTTCATGCCTTCTAAATCAGTCCCCTATCCAGGCATTTGCCAGGGTTGTTGAGTTGGCAGGATAAACAGATTTAACAAAATGCCAGCAAGTCGTTCAGCTAATTAACAAGTCTGTTCATCAGGTTATAACAAGGAAAGAGAACCACACATCTTTTATGATATAATTCATACTCTGTGTGAAGGGAAGGGTGTTTTTTTGGTTTTGTTTTTTGTTTGTTTTTCTCTTTAAGGGGAGACTTTTTAACTTCTAAATATTCAGTGAATGGTCTAGGAAGTTCCTACGGTTAGGTTTTGCAGGAGTTCAGTTTGTGACAATATTTAAATATGATCTCTTGCTTTTTTTAAAAACTTTGATTGCTTTTCCTGTGAGAATGACATGTAATTTCTAGAGCATCTTGTATACAGAGCCACATTCTACAGCTTTCCATCGGTTGCCACATCAAAGTCTGAACAGCTACCTGGCCATTGGAGGGATTGTTCTGGGTTTGGCCAGTTTGCTGATAAAGAACTGACTTAAGAGAATTATGACAGAGTTACAGACTGAATTCATTAGGACACCCAGAACAAAAGCTGTGTAACTAATTTTTTCATTTATGTTTTGGGTCCATGAAGCACTACATTTTCTTTATGAACTGCAATTACAACTTTGGGAAATAAAGTTTTAAAATATTTTTCATATGTGTTACTGAAGCTGCAGTTTTCTCTCTGACATCTTGAGAGTGGTCAACACACAGTTTTTATAGTGATTTACCTACACTGGTCTAGAAACTTAGTCAATTTACTGAAATAGGCCATAGAGATTTAAGCACTTTGATAATAGTATAACTCTGGCTGCATTAAGAGTTGCACCGATTTAATAAGTCTGTTTGGAAACAGATACAGTTAAACCAGTAAAAAGCTGTGTCTAGGTCTTACATAGTTCTGTTTGATCCCCCTTTCCAACCTTTGTTTAGGATGTCCTAACATTAGTTACTTGGCAAGCACTACCATAGCATGCTCTGGAAATGATTAATTGGGTTTCTTAGTACTGTAGGTAGCTAGCCAAAGTTAATCTTGGTGGGAAGGGTGCAGAACCTCTCAAGGAGGCTTTTTTCCCCTAAACACAATCTAAAAATCTGTTTATTAAGGTAAGGTTCTCTGTAGTTTGGTAATGAAAAGGTCACACTAGATATGGAACAGTTTCACTTAATTTCAGCCCTTCATTTCCTTCGTTGGGGCTGTCATACTGTTTTCCTTTTTCTGTGCGGTGGAGCTAAAGTTGACACTATGCTGGCTTAGAGCTACCTCTAGCTTGTAATAAGACAGGAAAAATGTCAGTGTGAAAAACTCTGACTTTGGCAGCTGGATCAGGTTTGATATTTCAGTAGTTCTTAGTTTCAGTTGACATGGTTTTATTATGTGCTTAACTTTTTTCTGGCCTTTTTGAATTTTCAAATACTGTAGTTAGAAGAGGGAGGAAGGGAATTGCTTTTGTTTCCTGAACTATTAAATGCACTGGATTCCAGTGCTTAAATGGTTTTAATTAAGTTATGGAAATAGACTTTCTATCAGATACATATGCCTCTGACATAGTAGTTAGTGTAGATGAAGAACAGTCGTTAATGGTTTAGGCCAGAAATTTAAGTGGTGGCCACGGACTGGGCCTCAATTTTTGAGCACACATCTTTAGTTGTGTACGTCTGATTTTTCGGAGGTGCTGAGCATTCGTAGTTCTTAGTGGCTCTTTGTTATTCATATATATGTTGTGCTACTTCAGATGCTTCCATTTCTGGATGCCCAATCAGAGACACTTGCAAGGGGCTGGATTTTGAGAGAGCAGATGTTCATCATTTCTTTAAAATTGGAGGGTTTTAAGGTATCTCCGTATGGGCACACACAAGTACTAGTTAGTATCGCAAATCTGGTATACAGTCCCTGCTTTGAAGAATTTTCAAATATTATGAGCAATATATGAATAGTGGGGAGAGAAAAATATTAATTAGTATATACTTTTGTAATATGTTGACTGTGTAAACACATACAGACCTTAAACCGCACTACCTCGCAGCCAAGCAATCAAGAATTGATTGATTTCTGAAAGGTAATTGTGGGAAAGGCATTGGCCCTACTTTCTAGTATAAAATTGCAAATCCACAAATCTGACATCCTTCCTCCCCTCCCCCCCAAGCAAATTTCTAGCCTTTTCTCTAAAAGGAATGTACCAATTATTAAAAGTGTGCTGGGTTGCAACAATGGCCTGTTATTACAACATGGTTAATACTGTAATTAATTGTATTTCCACTCCTAATTGACAAAAAGTACAAATAGAACAGTAGCCTTAAGGAACAAAACATGAAGTTTTCCTGTGAACACAGGAGATCAACTAGTATCTGCCTACACGCTGGTACCCAAGTTTGTACAGGAGGCCCCCGACTTGCGACATGATTGGTTCCGGAGGAAGCATCGCAAGTCAGGGATATCATAATTCAAACCCACATTTATGGTAGGCACTGTGTGCTGTCGTAAATGCAGGCTAAGGACATAAGTCGGGGGCTTCCGGCCCCTTCCGCACTTACAAAAATGGTTGCGGGAGGTCAGAATTTGGGCAGTCACATCTCGGGGGCCTCCTGTACATCTGGTAATTATCCTAAGGCATTCTCATTGGAGAGCCTTTGACTCTAGAATATATTTCTCTGGTTAATTTTTGACAGCGCTGTCAGTCTGTTGACCTATAGGGCATGCTGTAAGGCCCAACTGTTCTCAGG